TCTTTCTAGTTTCAATGTTAAGACCGATTTCGACAATATTTCGATACACAAAGCTCTCAAGGCACATATTAAATAGCCACCCCCTTTGCACCCACATTCGTATTTCTCTGGAAAATAAGACACACAGAGATGTTACAAAAAGCCATTAAACTCATTTTATTATTTTACATTCAAGCAATCCGTTATTATCTGTATATAGTTATATAGTCTGTACCTTTCCTAAAATGCTTTTTCTAAACGACGTCTATCCTACAGTACCTCCTTTCCTCGAAGGTGCCAACGTCTCGACGCCCAACGTCCTGCTGTCCTACTCCCTGCGTCTCGACCGCTGTCACATTCCGCACCATCTAAGCATTTCCTACCTTACATTCATTCCGGCGTCCAACGTCCCATCGCTCTACTTCTCGATGCTTGCCGCCCCTAAATATTTCCTTCGTAATATTTTTGTCGACACCCTTTGTCACGTCACGCACCACCTAAATATTTCTACCATATATCTGTCCCAATGCAGTACCGTATTAAATACCTTTCTTTTCACCACGACGCAAGTCGACGCTCAGCACTGCGACGTACCTAAATCGACGCCGTCACAATGCTAGATGAAATAAGTACATAATCTGTCTGTATTTTCAATAGTGAGTCAAAAGATTTATGTAACTTTCTTTGAGATATCACCGGGTTTCGTTTAAACAAGGGCTTGACATTTTCTGAAAAATATTATCGATGTAACCTAAACCACAGGGCCTTCAGGTCATACACCCCGAAAGCCAGTTAGGATAGCCATCTGTTTCGATGGGTGAATTTTTGAGTATTTCAATAGAAATTAATTTTAAGAAATATACGGGTTGTATTAACATATTTTAATAGAAATTATATTAATCAATATAAAGAAATACACAGGGTTGTAATAAGTCAATTCAATGGAAATAATAAAAATTAATATTTTAAAATATACAGGGAAGTGCTATCTTGGATAAATTGTACAACCCAAGATTGTAAAGTTTATTAGTAAGTTAACCAACTGGTGAATACGCTGTTTGTTAGCTCAAGGGGGGACACCTATACGCTAAGCCATCCATCCTACAAGGTTTGAATTAAAGTATATGTGAAATCAACATAGTAAAGTAACCAACTGGCAAATTAGCGCTGATCCTTACTTCCGTTGGTCATCACCTCTATACTCGTCGAAATATTTACTTAAGAGGGTGCAACCTGTGTACATCTAGATTAGAATCAAATCAACATCAACACAGCAGTTAACCAACTGGCGAATTGGCGCTGTTCGTTAACTCCGTTGGTCATCAACCTAAATTAAATATGTATTGATAGCAAATGAATATGGTCTGCGTTTGAACGGGACTCAAGTGAGATCTCAGTAAATAGTAACAATTATTGTAATATACTTTGCTAACTATTGCATCACATTTAAAGTATGAAAAATAAAAAGGGTTTAAATATGAATTTTTGTGTTTTATCAATTTGCACCAAACTATGCATCGAATCCTGGTTTGTCTTAATTAACAGTATCACAACGTGGGTAAATAAATTATCAATTAATTAACTAGACGATCACTATTACTACTAGAGGAAAAAAAGCCAATTACAGTAAGTATAGAATTTAAAGTAAAATAAACTTGGGAGGTGAATAATAACATTTCAGAGAGTAAAATAACGAACAAAAAAAGGGGGGACAGGGGGTGGGCCGTCTCATTCTTAATCTTGAGCCCAATACTATCGCAACATTTACTTAGCTGATGACACTGAAATCCTTGCTGTTGGAAAAAATCACGAAGATGCTAATAGAAAAATTGCATCAAATCGATAGACCAGAATTACATCTGGACGAAAAGATGGCGAATAAAATTAAATGAAGGCAAATCTGTCCATATCAACTTCAGCAATAAACAAAATAAATATATTCCTATTAGAATAAACGACATATTCCTTTTGTCAACACAGCAAAATATTTAGGGATGACACTTGATGTTAGACTTCGCTGGAAAGTCCATATTTAAAATAAAACCAAAGAGCTTGGTATATATTTGTTGCTAGGAAAACATTCGAAATTATCCACATACCTGTTTTTTTACAGGCCGATATTGAAACCCGTATGGACGTACGGTATCCAGCTTTGGGGCTGCGCCAGTAAAAGTTACATCCAAGTTACTCAACGTTACCAGAATAAAGAATTAATGAACGTCGTCGATGCACCCTGGTATTACAGCAAAACTGATCTTCATAGGGACCTTAAAGTGGACACTGCTGAAAATATAATAGAAAAATTTGCCAGTACTCTCTAAAAACAACTGCTCCAACATGGGAAAATTGAGGTTATCCAGCTCCTAAACAATGCCAATCTAATAGGAAGACTCAAGAGAACCAAGCCTTTTGAGTTTAGTATTACATGTTAAGAGCGAACCGAACACTCTAAAACTTTATAATTCCTTCTGGGTCTTTAATTTAGTGAGATTTTTGTGAAATTTTCAGGAAATACCAATAATAACAAAACTTAGGGTGGAGAAACCTTGATTTTTACTTTCCTATCTGTATACAGATAAGGAAAGTATAGGAATCATGATTTTTTTCGACCTCTAGTTTTCGACGGATTTTTACGTTTTGGGTCCCCTGAATCCGTTTTGACTATTTTCGCGATGATGTCTCTCTCTCTCTGTGTGTGTGTGTGTGTGTGTGTGTGTGTGTGTGTGTGTGTGTGTGTGTGTGTGTGTGTGTGTGTGTGTGTGTGTGTGTGTGTGTGTGTGTGTGTGTGTGTGTGTGTATGTGTGTGTGTATGCGGGCGCGTGTGTTTGTGTGTGTGTGTTTGTGTGTGTGTGTGTGTGTGTGTGTGTGTCTTTATCCACCATAACTCATGAACTGATACAAAGAAAAACACCAAATTTTAAACTTGAGCTTTATTCTGGCGTCCAATGAACTGATTAGATTTTGGGCAGAGTCGGAACATCTGGGAGGGTACTTTATGAGTGGTCATTTTTATATTTTATGGAATATATCTGTTATTTACGTTTGGAGAAGAAAATTTTTTAAACAAAAATTACTTACAATGTTTATATCAATATTTTTTGTTATATTCAAAATTTTCCTAAAATGGTCCGTAATCGAGAAATTTTACAAAATGTAAAAAAATATTTTTTTATAAAAACTGTTCAAATAAAAGTTGTTTGTACTATAATTCTCTATAATTTTTATTCTATACATAATTTCTCTAAAATAGACCGTATTCGAGATATTTTAGAAAATGTGTAAATTTTGAATTTTGAAGAAAACACAAAAACGGATAAAGGAAAAAACATTAAATTTTAAACTCAAGTTTTATTTCGGCCTAACGTGAAATTATTAGATTTTGGACAAAGTCGGAACATCTGGGGGGTACTTTATGGGAGGCCGTTTTTATATTTTATGAAATATGTGTTATTTATGTTTGGAGAAGAAAATTATAAATTATAATATTAGTATTATTATTTATAATTTTTGCTATATGTCAAATTTTCCTTAAATGGTCCGTATTCGAGAAATTTGACAAAATGTGCAAAATTCTGATTTTTAAGAAAATTGTTAAACTAAAAGTTGTTTGCGACATCGATCTCTATGATTTTTGTTTTTTCATGATTTTTCTTAAATGAACCATAATGGAAAAATTGGAGGAAAAGTGCTAAATTTAAATTTTTCAGTATTTTAGTTTTCAGTGAATATCTATAGAAAAATGTTTCGAATTAGATGTATGTGGAAAATGTATATATTTGTTCATCCTCTAAAAATTTATAGAGGTGCTACAATAGGTTGTACAAAATAACCGGAAAAAGCCTATAATAACTAGGTAGGAAAGTCATGTGTTGGACACATCAGATTTTTTTGTAGACCTTCGAAAAGTATTTATTTTGGGAATGATTAAACGATATTTAAAAAAAAAAACATTATTGTGCCATTCTCTATTAAATCTATTTGCTGCTTTTTGGAAGGATTTCCCACCTTTTTTCTTAAAAGTATCTGTAGAGTGTTGCTTTATCGTTGCACAGATTTAAAGCTCGACGAAGTATTACCAGTGGTGCGCGTATAAATACATTCTTATACTAGAAAATCCTGAAAACATTTTTGCTCCTAACGGTAGTGGAACTAAATAATTAGACTATAAGATACTAGTGAGTAGAATCTTAGTTTATGAAGTTTTTCATCCAAAGATAAGTTAGATTAGAATCAATTTACTAATTGATCTTAATGACCAGATTGTAATAATCGTAAATGCTTTACTTACGACATTTATTTAAAATATAATAATAATAAAATTTGACAGGTATACTCTAATTGATCTTTTTTTTCCCTAATTTCTTACAATGAGAGGATAAACAGCTCAAGAAAATGCTGTTCAAGCATTAACCTTCCTAACATCTTGCTCCAATTTTAAATATTCAATGTAATATTTAGGTACTTATAACACTTTATTTTCTCTTGAGATATTTATAGATAAACTCGATCGTAACATTAAATTAAAGTTCGATTATGCATCCGCACGCAGGATGCCGTACGATTGGGTACTTTGTTTAGCCAAAGTTGCAAAAAAATCTTTCAACAAAACTATTAAAATAGGAGTCAGTGGTTAAAACTGGATCCCCGTTTTTATTTATAAGCATTTACGTGCACTATAGTGTACCTAAGGGTTAACGAACTTTATGAACGGTTAACGAAATCCTTGTAGTGTTTAATTAAATTTTGGCCACCCTGTATTATAATTACCCTTGTGAACCATTCTTATATTTTTTGACTATTTGTTTACAATAATTCGACCCTTAATATGTTCAAATCATGTAAAATTTTATTATATTATACTTGTATCCCATGGAATTAACATTAATGTAAATATCTTTCGTTCCAACAAATATTTCCTTTCAATTAAAGGCATTCACACCGATTTATGAATATTGAACAGATATTCGAACCAATTGTCTGCAATGAACTTTTATGTAACCTCTAAAATCAATTCTTAACGATAAATATAGACAAGAGGTCCGCTCGAATTCTCTGTTTAGTTTAACTTAGCTAGTGAGTGTTATCGATTAGCGAAAATTATTAGAAAAAATGGATGTGGTTCCTGAAGATGTTGTAATATCTGGTATAGGTGGATTTTATCCCAAAGCTACCAATTTGGAAGATTTCAAAAATCGTTTATTCGAAAATAAGCCGTTACAAGAACCACGATGGCCAGAAAGTAAGTTTTAATTTAAAATTTTTATTTCCTACTATAATATATATATATAGTACGTCCTAGACTAATTTGACCAGGATACATCTACTAGATCAGTGGTTCCCAACATCTTTCGAGTCGCCACCTCCCTTTACAATTGCCAAGTAATTTGCGACCCCCGCCACATTGTAAAAAATTATATTTTCGATAAAATAAGAAGAGCAAATTAACAATAAATTTTTCAGAATATAACTCTAACGTAATATTTAATAAACTAACTAATTAAAATTATTAATTAATATTTAATGCGATAACCTCATATAGTTCTTAACATTTATTCTGTTTCTTTGTTTTAAAAAGAAGTAGCATTGAAAATCCACTTCCACTCTTCCTCTGTATGCTCGGGGAAGTACCGCTGAAATTTTTTTTCAAGGTTTTCAAGGTGCCCAGTAAAGCTTCACTCGGTATGATCTGACTGCGCTAACGGTCAGTTTTTCCCCTAATTCTATGGCTGGATTGAGCTGCTGTTAAAATTGCGCCTTAAAAACACATGGCCGGATTACGCCGGTATTAATATCTACCTACACCCTAGGAATGTAAGCTAGATATAGCTATATAAATTTCCACCGGACATTTGGGCGTCGTGCACGGCTTATGTAAAAAATTTCGACATAAATCGCTTCTTATTTGTAAGACGAGCGTCATATAATTTTAGAAAATAATTTAAAATGTTTTTAATTAAACTTATGTGTATATTTTTATTATTAAACAAGTTTGCATTAAAATCTCAATTTTGTTTTTTATATTTACTTTAATCTGAGTACCCACTGTTACCTACCTATATACAGGTAAATAAGGTAAAACCGTAAGTAACCACTAACGCAATCCGGCCATACCTTTTTTCGAACCCTTTCACGACCGTAATTAAGGGATTAACCATCACCGTAACCCGGCCCTGCTCCTATCACTTTTGATTGAAAGCCCGACTGGTGCTCCATCTGTACAAACCCTACATTACTGATTTTACTGTAGTTCTCATGTTTCAAAGAAATTATTTATCTTTTCCATGATATCTTCACCTTTTGTAGCGGTTACAAGTACAATACAAAACAGGAAACATTTTTTCATGTCATCAGAATGAATATAATATTTCGCAATTATTGAGAACGTATATCCGTTGATCTCGCAGATGACTGAATTTATTAAATACATGTTAAAATCTCAATGAAGTTTTAGGAAAAATAATATGGCGACCCCTAGAAAACACTTTGGGGGTCGCGACCTACAGGTTGAGAGCCACTGTTCTAGGTCATTAATTATTCCTAGGTAGCTCTCATCTCCAAAAATATACTTACGTCTTTTTTAAACTTTTATATATACTTTTCAATGAGATATATTCATAATTTCTTAAAAAAAATTAAATAGCAATATATATTCAATTAAAACTCATTTTTTAAATAAGTAATAAAAGAAAAACTAAATAATTATTTAAATTTAAATCAGATGGTAGCGATGGTACGTGACACCACGCCAATAAATTCGATTTAAAGAGTCCAATGTATAAAAAGCAGAAAAATTTGAAAGCTAAGCTAATTTAGAAAGAATTTTGGATTAAAATTTCTCATAAAAGTTAAAAAAAAATGTAATCACAAGTCATAAACCAATAATTAACATCCCTAATTAAAAAATGTTACAATATTTTAATTTAAAAAAAAAGGTTGTTTCCTACATAAAGAAGCGCAACTCATCCCTATTTTAGATATGAATTTATTTAAATTTATTTTTATTTTTCATCGATAAGTTGTTTCGTCATAAGAATCCAATAACGATCTAAAAATAACATTATCTATAATATTATCACTAGTAATACTATAAGTACTATAAATTATTGGGGTACACATCGATAACTTGTTGTACAGATACAAAGAGTGTTAGTTTAACAGTTTAAATACTTCAACCACGAAGCGGGATGAATATTCTGTCAAAATAACACGATCTGTAACTATTCAGGAAACTTTTCGTTTGGGTTCATACCGTTGTCGAGATCCTTATATTTATCGGTTACAAGCAGGTAGGGTTATTTTTAGCCCAGAATACTACGGCCTCTTGGGTCTATTGTATTCCCCTGCTTTCCCTGTATTCAGGAACTATAGTTAAAATAATCCTATGTCTTTGGTTAGTTTTATTAAGTTCCCTACCAAGCGTTCCTGGGACGTTCTTCCGGTTCTAGGCCGAAAAGGGTGAGCTTCGAATTCGAAAACCACTTGGTATGTGGTTTCTTCCTTTTCCATACACAGTCTCTGGTGAGATCATTGTGTAATCCCACCACATGAAGGTGTTTCAGCAAGCAATGACCCGTTAGTAATCCCAAAAAGGTGTATATCTGAGGCCTTGCGGGTTGTAGTACCTCAGTAGTCATGTGTGGGTTTAGTCGCCTTAGCACAAGCTTGCTGATTCTGTGGTCTTTCATCTGTTGCCAGTGAGTTTGGTAATTTGTGTTTATGCACCTGCTCAGTGCCTGTTGAGCAGAGGTTTTGCTTATTCCAAATGCAGGTTTGGGTCCTGTAAGGATAGTTTTGATCCCTCTTTGGCGAGTTCATCAGCGTTTTCATTTTCTTGGATACCTTCGTGTCCTGGTACTCACGCTAGTTTTACCTTATTGTGGGTTGCCAGATCATTTAGTATTCCAGTTCCAAACCACCTTTGACTTGATGCCGTTTGAACCAAGTGCCTTTAAGGCTGCTTGGCTCTCTGAGAGAATTAAGATGGTTTGTTTTCTTACTTCCTTCTTAAATTATCTCGTAAACACAACTTTATTGCATGTATTTCCGCCTAAAATACAGTAGTATATTGTCCCAGTGAGACGATGATGTCGCATTTGGGTTTAACTCTATGTACGTCAGAGCTTAATCCCTTTTTAGTTTTGGATCCATCCGTATACCATACGAGACTGATAAGCAAGTATTTCTCTTTCCTTATTTACCTCGTTCCAGTTGCATGTCAGCCTCTGTACTCCTAACAGTGTATTGAGGGCTGTTTTCTGGTTTACTTTTGGCTACCTAACAACTGCTCTATAAGATCATGGGTCTTGTTATTGCCAAATATAGCTAGTGGAGCATTTTCAGTTTTAATCCCCATGTTTTTCAAATTGCCCGTTTCCCTACTAGACATTTTACATTTGGTGGTCACTTTTGGCAAGTGTTGATTCCAAGTAAGTTTGCTATCTAGGATTAGACGCAAGTATTTTATTTGGTTCGTTCTTTTTAGTGTCTCTCTAAACAGTCGGAGTTTCTTAGATCTCTAACCTTGTTTTCTGAGTAAAGAATATGAGTTGTGCCTTGTCAGGGTTTACCAAAAGGTTTCCTTTAATGCACTACATTTCTGCCAGCCTTAGAGTTCTTTGCAAAAGTTCGAAGACTGTAGTTTGGCGTTTTCCCTCGGATAAGGATGACTATGTCATCGGCGTAACTTTGGGCGTACAGCCCTTGATTGTTCAGTATTTCCAGCAGTTCATCTGCCTCTAGGTTCCACAATAAAGGAGAAAGAACTCCACCCTACGAACATCCTCTGTGCATGTTCACCTGCATTGAACAGTTGTGTCTGTACTTGCCGTCCGCGTAATGTCTACTATCTACCAGCAGATGGTGTCTTCTATGCCATGTTTGCCAGCGGCAGCTATAAGTGATTTAAGGGAGGTATTATTAAAAGCTCCTTTTATGTCAAGAAATGCCCCTAAGACAATTTCTTGGCTACTAAGCTGACCCCATTCTATCTTGATTACAAGATGATGCAAAGGAGACTCACAAGATTTTCCTGATTGATAGGCATGTTGGTTTGTATGAGATGGCCTCTCTATCAGAGTGGTTTGCCGGACATTCCGATCAATCAGTTTTTCTAATCTTTTTAACAGAAATGACGTCAGTTATTGGTCTGTAGGCCTTTGCACAAGATGGTTATAAAAACCACTGCTTTTTTCCAGGTACTTGGTACATGTTTATGCACCAAACTTGCTATGTAGAGCCTACAAATGCGCGGGGCCATTGTTTCTATTGCTTGTTGCAGAAGCACATGCAATACCCCATCTGGCCCTGGTGATTTGTATGGGTTAAAGGTGCGCATTGCCCATGTTACTTTCTCTGTTCTGACTACCCGTTTTGCAGTTTCCCACTCTTGGATGGATACCCTTTTTTTGAGAGTTCCAGTTCGTATGGGTTTGGTTTGCTGCATTTGGGTTTGTTATACAATCAGGAAAATGAGTTTTGAGAAGTAATTATAATGTGTCAATTCCAGTTTTAGTGTAGTCCTTTGTTTTTAGTATTTAGAGTCCCCACAGGGTTTATTGGGTATTTTGCTAGAATGCGGTGGAGTCTGCATCCTTGTATTTTCAATTCCTGACAAAATGTTCTCCATAAACCCCTCTTAGATTTAAGAATATTGTCATATAAACCATTAGGCCTGATTAGACAAACAATGAATTCAATGGGCCAGCCACTCATTTCGTTTGGGCTTATACAGTTTTCGAAATTTGGGCCCCGAACATTATCGATGCCATCTTGACGGTAGCATAGAAATAAATGGACTACAATCTACTTACTTAAGGGTGAGGGGTAATTTATAACATTAGTTCTTTGACATTGAAATGAATTACAATGACACGAAAAAAACCTAAGATGTGGCTATGTGGTGATCGCGGTGTCATCACATCTATATGACACATTTGGTGAGCGAAAAAATGATCGAAAAAGGTCGAAATAACAAATGACTAAAATCAGATATAATCGAAAGTACAAACGAATAAAATCACATATGTTTAAAAGTACTAATGATCGAAATGATATATGATCGAAATAGTATAAGATCGAAAGCATTAAATTACGAAATTGGCAAATTAGTTGTTTTTCTCATTTTATGTACAATTTTTTTGTGAAGCAACTCACAATGATACCAGGTCGCACAGGCTAGGTAAATTACTTAAATTTTTTATTTTTTCTTAATTTATGTATCATTTTTCTGAGAAGCAATTT